TCAGGGTTCCCTTAAAGGGATCTACAAGGGTTCTATAAGGGTTCTATAAGGGTTCTATTAGGGCTTTATATTTGGGGGTAGGGCTGGGGCGCTCAGACTTTTGGAGTTTTGGGCTTCGAGCTTCTGAGGGTCTTGGGGGTTGAGGGCCCCTTCTTAAGCTTTTAGGGGCCTTAATAATTGGAATAGGGTTCCTTTTCAAGGGGTCTATAAGGGATAGTACAAGGGTACTATAATATACTTTTAGGGCTTGGGAGTTTGGATTGCAGGGCAAACTGGCAGCAATCGCGATATGGCTTCCGTCGAGCCGCAGCCCTCTTGAAGATCCTGACCCTTCATCCCTTCAGCTAATCGTCTAAAGGCCCCGAACCTTGAATTCCAAAACCCGGAAACCGAATTGGAACAAGAAGCAAGTCCCTGAAATCCCGACCCTCAAGCCTATCGGCCTTGTAGATTCAGCGGTACTGTGGAGCCGATTCTAGATTCTAGAGACAAACCCAGTACGCAATGCACCTGCGAAGACACCAAACCTCCAGTTTCAATGTAAGGAGGATTCCTCTATGTTAACGGGCTTTGGAGCTCTCTGGGAAACCCTAAAGACTTGAATTAAACTCCAAGTCCCATACCTCTAAACCCTATGCCCAAAAGCTTAAAAGCAATTGAATCCCTGAACACGGCCCAAAGCCCTCAGCTGTCTCGTTTGGCAGGCCTAAACCCAAAACCTGAAGGGGTTGTTGGGTTTAGGGTTTTTTGACCCTAAACCCTAAACCCTGAACCCTAAACTTAAACCCTAAATCCCAAACCGTAAATACATCCTAGACCCTGAACCCTAATCCTGGCACCCCAAACCCCCTTAGAGGAACCCGAAAAAAAGGAACCCTTTGATTGAACCCTTTAATGCTACCCTTATACATCCCTCAGAGATCCCTTTGAAGGAGACCCTTAACAGGATCCCTTAAAGCAGCCCTCAAAGGAGCCCTCAAAGGAGCCCTGAAAGGAACGCCCAAAGAAAATTTAAACCCTAAACCCCTAAACCCTAAACCTTAAAAACCTTCAAAGGAACCCTTCTAGAACCCCCTGCAACCCTTTTTGACCCCTTCAAAGGAACCCTTAAAACCCCTATAGACCCGTTCAAAGGCACACCTAAAACCCTTACAGATCCCTTGAAAGGAACCCCTAGAACCCTTCTAGATCCCTTTCAAGGAACCCCTCAAACCCTTATAGACCCCTTGAAAGGAACCCCTCAAACGCTTATAGATCCCTTGAAAGGAACCCCTCAAACCCTTGTAGATCCCTTGAAAGGAACCCCTCAAACCCTTGTAAATGCCTTGAAAGGAGCCCCTAAAAGCTTGATGAAATCCCTCCGGGCGCCTGCCCTGCAGCCAGCTGTAAGGATCCCCCCGAGCGGCCGAGGACATGGCAGACATCTCCCGCCAAGGAGACCTCGAGAGGATCTAGAAAGTAGATCCCCTAGTTTGGGGCTTAGTAGGGCTCCTTAAAGGGATCCTTTAGGGTTTAGAGCCCAGTACCCTACTTAAGGAATATAGCCTAAATCATAACATGAAGCCTTATATATTATTTAAGCCATATTCCGAAATTAAGGGGCACTGGGCTCTACCTCGACACCCAGACCCCCGGGAGGATCTAGAAAGTACATCCCCTAATTTGGGGCCCTATACTACTAAGGGTACTTTCTAGGAACCCCCATTGAGGGATCTACTTTTTGGATCCTCCAAAGAGGGTCTGGGCAGGTCTAAAGGGTTCTATAGCGGTTTAGGGTTTAGAGATTAAGGCATTAGAGGAGAGCTCGGCAGGTCTGAAGAGTTCTTTGAGGGCTTAGAATTTAGGGTGTAGGGTTTAAGGTTCTATGAGGGTTCTTGTAGGAGACCTCGAAAGGTCTAAGAGTTCTGTGAAAGTTTTTTTTTGAGCACCTTTTTCCGCCTGGCAGTTAAGGTCGGCGAAACCCACCGGTGTGGGAGGCCCCAACCAGACCCTTCGGCACATCACGAACTTGCAGTGGCCCTCTGTGAGGGGTTTAGGGTTTAGGGTTCTGTAAGGGTTCAGGGTTTAGGGTAATGGTTTGCGGTTCAAGGTTCTATCAGGGTCATTGGTTTAGAATTTAAGATTCTACCAGGGTTATGGGTTTAGGATTTAAGGTTCCATGAGGGTTGAGGGTACAAGGGTTTAGGGACTCGAAGTTTCGGAATCTGGACGAACTGCACGGCCTAAGGCGATTTAGGGTTTAGGGTTTTAGGGTTTAGGGTTTAGGGTTTAGGGTTTTAGGGTTTAGGGCTTAGGGTTTAGGGTTTAGGGTTTTAGGGTTTAGGGTTTAGGGTTTAGGGTTTAGGGTTTAGGGTGGAACCGTCGACATTCCGGTAAACCCTGGGCAGAGGAGCTTTGCAGTGCTAGCTCCCCATCCCAACTCTCCGAAGCCAGAGCCTCAAAGATGAACAACCCAAATGGGAGTTTCCGAAAACTAGGGGTTCCTTTATTTTGGGGGTCCTTATAATCAGGATCCTACTCTTTAGGGTACCATATTAGGGTCCCCATTTTCGGAAACTCCCAAATTGAAACTGAAGGCTCACGGGTGTTCTGAGGCACTTGAACGCTCTGCTGGGAGCTTAACGTTGAGTGCGGAGAGCTGGTGTAGGGGTTTAGTGTTTACAGTTTACGGAGTTTAGGGTTCAAGGTTAATGTGACAAGCTGCCAAGAAGCTTCGAGCAGAAGCTATGCAGAAAATATTGCGAGACAGACTATTTCCAGCGATGGTTGCAGTTCTGGCGACATACTTTTGATGATATTGACCCGGCATTACACAAATGAGCTATCGACCGCAATTCTCATAGTCCAGGGCATTATAATGCAGGATTGATATCATCAACCGTAGTGGCACTTGGTACGCCGTCGAATACTTGCGAAGCTGCTCAGAGAAAGCAATGCAACGACCGAGAACAACTACATTCGGGTCTCTGCGTACGCACGTGAAAGTTTCAAAACATAGGCAACCCCGTTTGAAGATCCTAAACGATGGGACGCGGTTTCAGAGTTCACAATTAGCCCCACCAACCGCCGAAACTTAGAGCGTAGGGCATGGGTTCAGTACTACGCAGAAACAACCAACCTAAACCCCAAACCCAACGCTTGGAACCCTTCCCCAGGACGTCCGAAAAATGGTTGGAATCCTTAGGCAGTGTTCTCGATGGCTTGGGGGTCCAGCCTTTAGAATTTAGGGAGAAGAATACAACGTGCAGGTCATAGAGCTTTGGGTTCAAATCCCCGAAAACCCGAAACTCTACACGATTGGGCTGCCCGCGCCTGCAGGCTATAATCCTTGGACACAACGACCTCCGCACAAGACACGCGCACTTGGAGCATGGGGGGCTTCGTACAACGAGTCAGTAAGAAGGTTTTGGGTTTAGGGGTCGGGTTAGGTTTTGCTGTGTATAGTTTGGGTCCCGGTTTAGGTAGCTGTTGTATAGAATGAAAGAAAACCCTCTTAAACAAATTTGTGACAAAGCTCGTGTTCAACCGGATCTACCTATCTAAGTATAAACTCCATCCCGATGGTGCATCGCCCCCTCTAAGGCACCGCTCGAAAAAAACAGAAACCCTTCAAGAAACCCTACACTACCCTAAACCCTAAACCCTAAAAACTAAACCTACACTAGATAAGGGGCTTCAGGCGGCTTGCAGCATGATGCTGAAAGCCCGTGTTCTACAAGGTTTCTGTAAGAGGTACTGTTGAGGCTCTGCTTCACGTTTACTAGATGTCAATTTCAACAGTCTCAACAACTATTCATAATTCAGGCTCTATCTGACACAACAAGTTCGGGGGAATTGAGAACTATCCCAAATCGATATCTAGGGTGTGTCTGAGATTGTTCAGAGTCCAGGGTGCTGCGTTTCGGGAGCATCGGACTTTGAGTTCAGGGCTTCGCGTAGAACATGTGTATATACATATATATATATAGATATATATATATATATATATATATATTCATATGTAGATGCATGTATGTATGTATGTTTGTATGTCTGTATGCATGCATAGATAATCATGTGTATGTGTGCATATATATATATATGTATGTGTATATAAATATATATATATATATATATATATATATATATATATTTATGGGGATAGAGAGGGAGATAGATAGCTTGATTGATAGATAGATAGACAGACAGATAGATACATAGATAGGTAGATAGATAGATAGATAGGAATCCTTCGAGATTTTGCGCACATTACGTGATAATGAGTACTGAAGCCGGAAGAATACTGTGGGTAACGATTACGCCCCTATATTCGCTGAGGGCTGAAGACCCCCATCGACTCACAGAGCTTACAACGTGCAGCAGCAACTGAACCAGTCTCTCCACTGTCGGTGAGACTCCCCAGAGCCTCCAAAACCCCGTAATCACGGAATATACCTTAAGTTATAATAGGATCCCAAATATAACTTAAGGTATATTCCTTAATTAAGGGGTTTTGGAGGCTCTGGGTCTTTGTAAACAGCACACAAAAGAGGATCCCATGTTTGCGATATGAAGGCTCGGAACATGGGCCTTCCTCGGGTACGGCCCCCATACAGTAACAATCCATAGTAGGGCTACTATTAAGGTCCTGATATCTCTATATTATGAATATTATCCAACTGTTACTGAGTGGGGGCAGTACCCAAGCGGCCTTCCAGACATCTTGAACCATGCGCCTCACTCTGCACAGCTGCTAGCCAGCCGGCTTTCAACTGAAACCAGCCAAATACAAGCTGCACGACTCTTTTTTCCTGCATCGGTCGGCACATCCTGGTTTGAATCATCTGGAGCTTGTCCACGATCTAGGAAACGGATTTGGAAACGAGGGGGCGCCAGAAATGCACAGCGCGAATCGACAATCTGGAACTGTAGGGTCAACTTGCTTTCCACAAGGACCGAAAGGGCTGATGAAACTACGTTTGTGCGCCTGCGGGAGACGGCTTGGCAGGAAAAAGAGGTGTCTAAAGCCCGAACTGCTGCATGGCGTCCTTGCCGGTGGCCATCTCTGCTGCGAAGATTCCGAGAACCGAGATCATGGCCATGCGCCCGTTGTTGAGCTCCTTCATCCTCATCTCGTCATTGTACATGTTCACGCCGAACGGATCGCCGTAGTTTCCCGGCTCCTGGATCAAAAGAAAGACATTAGGATCAACGAAAAGAAACCACAACGATGAACAATTAAAATAAGAACCCCTCCTTCTCAGGGTTCTCCCTCCACCACAGCTCCAGCGGGGCGCAAGCGAGGAAGATGCCGAAGAAGCCTAGCACGCCCTCGCCCTTGTCCATGATGGAGAAGCCAGCGGGAGCATTCTCGAAGAAGGGGAACTTGACGAAATGCTGTGCAACAAGTCCAATCGAAGCCATCATCGCTACTCTACCATGTTTGATCTCGGAGACGCGCAGCTTCCTAAAGCCCTTCTCGTCGCCCACATTCGTGAACCCGAGCGGATCAAAGAATCCAAGAGGTTCGGCGGCACCGAACTGCTCGGAAGGCTGGAAGAGTGGCGGCGCATCTTCCTGAATCACGGCCTCAGCCCTTCGCACCACGCGCTGCTGAGCCACGACTCTGGAAGAGGTGGATCCTGCAAAGCGGCTGGAGGAAGTGGAGACACGGGCACCAGCGATGGCGGAAAGCCCGAACTGCTGCATGGCGTCCTTGCCGGTGGCCATCTCTGCTGCGAAGATTCCGAGAACCGAGATCATGGCCATGCGCCCGTTGTTGAGCTCCTTCATCCTCATCTCGTCATTGTACATGTTCACGCCGAACGGATCGCCGTAGTTTCCCGGCTCCTGGATCAGAAGAAAGACATTAGGATCAACGAAAAGAAACCACAACGATAAACAATTAAAATAAGAACCCCTCCTTCTCAGGGTTCTCCCTCCACCACAGCTCCAGCGGGGCGCAAGCGAGGAAGATGCCGAAGAAGCCTAGCACGCCCTCGCCCTTGTCCATGATGGAGAAGCCAGCGGGAGCATTCTCGAAGAAGGGGAACTTGACGAAATGCTGTGCGACAAGTCCAATCGAAGCCATCATCGCTACTCTACCATGTTTGATCTCGGAGACGCGCAGCTTCCTAAAGCCCTTCTCGTCGCCCACATTCGTGAACCCGAGCGGATCAAAGAATCCAAGAGGTTCGGCGGCACCGAACTGCTCGGAAGGCTGGAAGAGTGGCGGCGCATCTTCCTGAATCACGGCCTCAGCCCTTCGCACCACGCGCTGCTGAGCCACGACTCTGGAAGAGGTGGATCCTGCAAAGCGGCTGGAGGAAGTGGAGACACGGGCACCAGCGATGGCGGAAAGCCCGAACTGCTGCATGGCGTCCTTGCCGGTGGCCATCTCTGCTGCGAAGATTCCGAGAACCGAGATCATGGCCATGCGCCCGTTGTTGAGCTCCTTCATCCTCATCTCGTCGTTGTACATGTTCACGCCGAACGGATCGCCGTAGTTTCCCGGCTCCTGGATCAGAAGAAAGACATTAGGATCAACGAAAAGAAACCACAACGATAAACAATTAAAATAAGAACCCCTCCTTCTCAGGGTTCTCCCTCCACCACAGCTCCAGCGGGGCGCAAGCGAGGAAGATGCCGAAGAAGCCTAGCACGCCCTCGCCCTTGTCCATGATGGAGAAGCCAGCGGGAGCATTCTCGAAGAAGGGGAACTTGACGAAATGCTGTGCGACAAGTCCAATCGAAGCCATCATCGCTACTCTACCATGTTTGATCTCGGAGACGCGCAGCTTCCTAAAGCCCTTCTCGTCACCCACATTCGTGAACCCGAGCGGATCAAAGAATCCAAGAGGTTCGGTGGCACCGAACTGCTCGGAAGGCTGGAAGAGTGGCGGCTCAGGAGCCTCGATCACAGCTACGTTGACCTGTGTACGGGATCCACGCACGGCGGCCAAGCCGGCGCCCAGAACAGCGAGTGTAGCCAAGCCGTTCCCGGTTTTCTGCTGAGCAACGGATGTTCGAACAGGAGCCGTGGAGGCCGCACTTTTCCTCAGCTGGCTCCCTGAGCGGCCAGCAGAAGGCGCGACGAAAGCGCTAGCAGAGGCGGCAAGGCCGACGACGAGGCCTGCTGCTGCGAAGCGTGACTGCACAGTCGGCATGGCAGCAGCGGCGAGAAAATTGCAGAGGCTTCTGTCTGAAAATCTCTTAAGCCCAAACGACTCACACCCATTTCTGACCTGCATGTGCGCATGTACGCACGTACGTATGCATTCACCAGTATGCATGACATGATGAGCATGCTCACACATGAATGCCAAAGCTTTAGGACTTCAACAGTGAGCTTCTGGGGCACAGCCGATTTGTCAAGGGGTCCTCATGATCGAAATCCAGGCAGTGTACAGACCACCTCTGCAAGACATGTGTGACTCGACGTGTCTACAAGACCTTTTGCAAAGGCTCCTGAGCTCGAAGCCGAAAGCCGAAAACCCTAAGGCCCTAAACCCTAAGCTCGCTGAAACACCGAAGCCCTACAACCTAGAGACTCCAATATCCCTTGATTAAGGAATATTCCTTGAATCAAATTTAGTATCCTACTATAATTTCAAGTATATTCCCTAATTTAGGGACATTGGAGTCTGTGGGAACCCTCAAGTGCCACAGCCTGTGAAAATGGTGCATCCAACTGCAAATAACTACTTAAAGGTTCATGGGACTTAGTAACTAGGGTTATTATTAAGGTAAGTATGCTTACAAGTACTTATAACCCCAATGAAGGTACTTATAACCTTACTTACTAGATCCCTTGATCCTTAAGTAGACCCTAAACCCTAAACCCCTATAGATCGTTTATAGAGCCCCTTGAGGAACCCCCTGAGGAACCCTTGAAGTTACTAAGTCCCATGATCCTCCAAGTACTGGAGCTGAGGTGAAGCTCCGAACCCTAAACGCCCAGACTCCCAAAAATCACAACGCGGCAAAGTGCGCCTCGCTGAGGGCACTGTTGACATCCGCCAAGGCAGCCATATCCATGGTGTTTAGGGTTCGGGGATTCGGAGTTTAGGGCTCAAGAGTTTCGACTTGCAGGTTCGGGGTTCAACACTTTCGCGTTTCGGGTTTTAGGGTTTAGGGTTCAAGGGTTTTAGGGTTTAGGGTTTCGGGTTTTAGGGTTTAGGGTTTAGGGGCTAAGGATTTAGGGCTTTAGGGTTTGAGGTTTAAGGTTTGGGTCTTAGGGTGCAGAGGTTGGACGTGGGAGCCGAGGATTTGATGAGCGGTGTTGTGGCTTGGGCTTTGGGGTTAGCTGCAGGGATCGTTTTCATTTCAAAAACTTCGGCTACGATAGCAAGCGCGAACTCTCCTCATGACAGTGCTTGGGCTGGCTTTGGGGGAGGTCGCTTTACGGAGGGTTCAGGGTTCCATGACGCCGGAAGATCTTCGAACAAGGCACATGCCGGCAAGGGACATCTTCGGCCAAAGACAACCCTGTGAATACAAGACTGAAAGCCTTGAACACAGAACCCTAGGCATAAGCAAACCCTGAATACAAACACTGATCGCCTGAATTTCCGAAATGTGCCAAGTTCCAAATCCGGGCCCCTGGTGCAAAGAAGAGCAGACTTCGCTTAACAGTTGCACGGGGAAAGATTCTACAAGCGCTCTGTTGGGATCGTATAAGGCTGCATTCCGTCGAGTATGGATATCATGGTACACTCCTTACGGTGGATATTGCAGGTTTGCAACAGTATGAGAAATTCAGGGTGTGAGGTGCCTGCGGCCTGACATCTTGCAAGACGCTGAACCCGAAACTCTGAACCGAACCTGCAACACGCAGAAACACTTCAAGTCCGACCGTCCCGGAACCCCAAAATTTCTAATACTCATTACTTACTGAACTACTACAGAAGGTTGAACTATTCTAACTTGGGGTCTGCCCCTTAGTTACAGGGTTTAGGGTTAGGGGTGTGGGTGCCGAACCGAAGAGCAAAAAACCCTATATGGGTAGTCGTCAAAACTATAGCCCGCTTTTGGGTAAGCTAAATGTTAGGTGCCGTATTATAATAAGGACCCCAAAAGGGACCATAATGTTTACAACCACCCATACTTGGAGGATCATGGGACTTAGTAAGTAAGGTTATAAGTACCCTAATTGGGGTTATATGTACTTATAAGTATAGTTACCCTAACTATAACCGTAGTCACTAAGTCCCATGACCCTTTAAGTAGCCTTAAACCCCCTTTATAGGACCCTTATGGATCCCTTTAAAGGAGCCCTTGTAGAACCCTAGTTACTAAGTCCCATGACCCTTTAAGTATAAACCCCAGGATTCGACTCCTCGTCGGCGCGGCGCTCCCGTGGCACGCATACAGCCTGGTCAGAGCGGTTTAGGGGTTTCGGGTTTAGGGGTTTAGGGGTTTTAGGGGTTTCGGGTTTATAGGGTTTAGGGGTTTAGGGGTTTTGGGTTTATAGGGTTTAGGGGTTTAGGGGTTTAGGGGTTTATAGGGTTTAGGGATTTCGGGTTTAGGGGTTTATAGGGTTTAGGGATTTCGGGTTTAGGGTTTAGGGACCTCACCCGAGTCCTTCGGTAGGAAACTGTCCAGAATCGCCAAAACCCATCACTTGAGCAAGATACCTCAAAGTAAAGCGCATTCAGGAACCCTGGATCAGATCAGAAAAAGGTAACTGAATGATTGGAAAAAGGTTTGGGGCTATATTATCGTAAACTTCCAACGTGGAACTCGAAGGAATATGATTAGTAATTCTTCAGGGTTTTGGATTAGTTAGTTGTCCAAAATATGGTCCCTTTTGGCGTACCCTATATATTAAGTGCCGAATTATACTAAGGACCCAAAAAGGGACCATGATTTTGACAACCACCCATTAAGGGAAAGTTTAGTTTAGGGTTTCTGGTTTAAGGGTATACGGGTCTAGGGCTTATGGCTCAGGCGTTCCTGGATTTAGGGTTTAAGGGGTAAGGTTAGGGGCTTTGGAAAACCCTACATAAAACCCTCGGGACGCTCTCTTAAGACCCTATCAAGAAACCGCCTAAAACCCAAATCTTAAACAGCCCTCAACCCAAACTACCAAACCCTAAGCTCAAAAAGTCCAAACCTTAACTAGGTGGGGCTTTTAGAGCCTTTGAACAATATTAGTAAATAAGATCCTCTTAAGCCCAATAAGGGAAAGTACAAAATGTCCCAAAGCCCTTCCTACTGTTGATGATATAAATCCTGCATTACCCATAATAAGGAATATACCGTTATTCCCATAGTTTAGGGTCCTTAAGGTAATGCAGGATTTATATCATCAACCGTAGTTAAGGAACCGGGTGCCAGGAGCAGCCTCGGAATCCTTAGAGAGCCAGAGGGCCTGAACCCTGAACCCTACCTTAACCCCACGTAACCTACCTTTTTAAGGACTTGTATAAAGAAATCATATTAGGGAACCCTAAAAAGGTAGGTTCCTTAGGGTCCAGGTAAACCCTAAAATCCTGAGAGAGCCATAGGCCCTAAACCCTAGACCCCAAAAATCAGGGTTTGGGGGTCAAAAGTATGGTCCCCTTTTGGATCCTTCTTATAAGGTACCCCAAAAGGGACCATAATTTTCCTTCGGGAGCCATAGGCCCTAAAACCCTCTTGCCAGAGCTTCGGGCCGCAAGGGTCGGAGCACTCCCTTCATCAACATTCGAAGTTCGAGGGCGTTGTTGAGAGTACGAACTTTCGGGCTTTAGGAGGTGTTTTGACCCTGAATAACCTACGAAAGCTGCAGGGACTTAACGACCAGTTTCGGCTCGGGGGTTCAGGCGATTGGTTGAAGGACCAATACACGTACAGTAAACCCCAAAAAGTTGGAAACCGGATTAAGGACAATTAGTGCTGGGATCCCTTATACATGACTTTTAAGGATTGAGGCTATTGGGTTTCCAACTTTTGGGCCTCTACTGTACCCCCTGGAACCTAAACCCTGAACCCGAAACCTCAGATCCCATGCGCGCGTTTTCTCCGAATCAGCCAGTCACTATAGGGCGCTGCTCCAAAAGAATGCGCCTCAGGAACACCAGCAGTTTCAAGATCACGACTCCTACACTCTGCTCGCGGTTTAAGGCTCACCTTAACCCCACGTAACCTACCTTGTTAAGGACTTATATAAAGAAATCATATTGGGGAACCCGAAAAGGTAGGTTCCTTAGGGTCCAGGCAGGGAGAAGGGCTCAGGATGTCAAGTTTGGAATCACCACTTCCGACCCTGGAGTGGTGACGCATCGGCGCGGTGCTCCAACTTGGAGGCGAACGATATCGCTGCTTAAAGGCTCATGGGACCTAGGAACTAGGGACATAATTAAGGTAGCTTTTCCTATCATTACCCCGATTAAGGTACTTATAACTGCACCTGCTAACTCCCATAAACCTCCAAGTAAACTATAAACCCTAAACCCCTATAAATCCCTTACCCTTTAAGGAACCCCTTAAGGAACGCTTTAAGATACTAAGTCCCATGAACCTCCAAGGGGGCCTGGAGCTTGGAGGAGGGCCCGGGGCTAGGACTAGGCTTCAGCATCTACAGGGGTTTAGGGTTTACAGTTAGGGTTTAAGGTTTAGGGTTTAGGGTTTAGGGTTTAGACTCTAAACTTTAGAGTTTAGGGTTTATGGATTATGAATAAAACGAGGCTTTCGTCTACGAAGTTCTAGAGCTTCGAGTTCTGCTTCAACTTAAGGGTTTGGGCCCTCATCCTTTGTAGCTGCTTTCACTGCTTCCCTTGCTTCGAAGATGGTGAAACTCGTTCGTATCGGGACTCCCGCTTCAGGTGCTCCTTCGATGAAAGACTGAGAGGTTTCGGCTCTGGTTTCAAAGTGTGGACAAGTGCCGACCCCCTAGACCATTAACCCTAAACCCTAAACCCTGCACAAGTCGAAAGCGCAACCCCGACACCCACAACCCAGCCAAGAAATGATTTCGAGCCCAGAGCCAAGCCTGAGATCCCTCACAAACGAGAAGCATCAAAGTCAGTAAACCTTACAACGCAAGAAGGCCTCATGCCGTGCTTCAAGTTGTGAGCAGGAGATATGGATGGGAATCCGCTACTACCGGTGATTCTTCGGACGATCGCGGAATCAAGGTGCATGCACTCGGAGTCGCGGGGCTCTCCCGCTCGAGAGCTTAGGGTGCTAGAGTTTAGGGGCTTTGAAGTGTCTGGTATAGGGCTTCGGGTGGTAATACTTGCCGGGCAGCAGCAAACCTGAGGCCACGAACCGTGTTGCAAGCGGTTTAGGGTTTTGGTTTGGGGAGTTTAAGGCAGAGGACGCAAAACTAAGTGCTGCCCACTATGCCCCTACACCTCCTCAAACTGCAGGCCGAAACTTTAAACCCTAAATCTGGGCTTCTTGTTCAGACTTTGGACTGTAGGGCTCTTGCTCCATAATGTGGAGACGGGGCATTTGGGATTTTGGGTTCAGGGTTTAGTTTCGGGTTGGGGTTCCAAATCTCTGGGACGTTCAGGCTTTCGAGACCCCACCAGCACCAGCGATTCCACGGCTACCTCGGCCGGATCGTGCAAGACAGGAGCAGCAAAGATGCCATGCTTTTCAAGGCATTCATCACGGGCAGCCGTGGGTCAAATCCCCATCAACCTGGTCTTATCGCTTAGCCCCTGGCGGCAGAAAAAAGGCATACTAGCTTGTTTTTAGAAGGGCTCTTCAAGGCTCGTCGATTCACGGTGCCTGTATGAAGCATAGGCGCCCCGACACAACCCGTAAGCCCTCCAAGAAACCCCAAACCCCTAACCCCTAAGCCGTTCGAAAACCCCCAAAAATCCTAAACCACAAATTCCAAAACTCGAGCAGACGAAGCCCAGAGGATGAGACCCCGTCCAACGCAACGGGCACAGGGACGAGGGGTGTGTTGAAGGGCTTACTTGAAGGGTCGTGGGACTGAGTAACTAGGTTTATAATTAAGGCAACTATACTTATAAGTACATATAACCCCAATTAAGGTACTTATAACCCTAGTTACTAGGTCCCTTGATCCTCCAAGTAGGGCTCAGCTGTCACTACTCTGCTAGGTGACTTCCACTGGCCACCCGTGAATTCAGCTTGCTGCGCGGAAGAAAAGGAAAAGAGTCTGTGGCTGGAGCTACCCTACATCCTAAACCCTTGGACCCTGCTTGGAGGGTCGGCGGACGAAGTAAAAAGTTATTTTTAAGGACTTATGAGGATCATGACCGCAAGTAGGGTCCCTTTTAGCGTACTTATACGTCTACTTCTTACCTACATACTAAGTCCCCCGACCCTCTAAGACCCCTTAAGGGAACCCTTATAGATCCCTTCAATGGAACCTTTAAAGGACCCCCTTATGACTACCTACATACTACGTCCCCCCGACCCTCCAGGTACATCTGGGCCAGTAGCCCACCCAAAACACGGGCGGAGGCCGAACTCGCAGGTGCTTGCCTGCGGTGGATCGGCAACATCTGGCCTTTTTGTGCATTCTTTTCCAAGAATCTTAGGGGGTATAGGGTTCAGAGGGTTTAGGGTTTAGGATTTAGGGCGTTTAGGGTTTAGGGTTCAGAGTTCATCATCCAGGGTTCAAGCCTAGGGCTCAGGAGCACAAATCTTGATCGGACTGCTTCGTAGCTATCGCAACCATTCTGGTAACCTTAATAGTAACCCTAAACCCTTACGGCAACCATTTTTGGTGATTCATAACTTTCAAGGAAGCCTCCTAAAGAAAAACATCTGGATTCAGGAATCCGCCGCCATCTTCATCAGCACCGGGTCCGAGCTCCATACACTCTCCAGCCTACAATAGAGCAGGAGCTCTAAAGGGCACCTAACCGCAAGGATCCTACTACTGGGGCGTCAGCGTGTCTCTAAGAGGGATTCCAGAAAAGCCGAATTCTGTGAAAGTACGCTTGCCACTAGACTTTAAGCTATATTTCTTCATGAAGGCGTTTTGGAGCCTCTGGTAAGGTAGTTGAGAGGCGTGGGTTGAATCGAAGCTTACGGCTTGTTGCGTTTTAGGTACGGCTTAGGGATTTGGAGCTGGGGTTGAAGCTTCGTGTTATGGGATTTTGAGCTGGGGCTTGAAAGCCTGGGATTTGGGGTGGGGTATGGGCCCCTCGTGTAGAATCTGGGTCAACTTGGAGGTGCAAGTAGCGGCCTTAAGATCAGAGAAGACCTGTGGTGGCAGACATATTGCGACTGTCGTGATATAGGCATAGGGACCAGGACATGCATTTCCTGCAAATTCTTGGGCTTCAGGCAGCAAACCTTTGAGAGGCTCACAGAGAAGACCCTTTTCGATATGGTTTGGTCTTTCGTTAGAATGCCGGCCTCCGGCCACGAGATCTTTGTGCCATCGTCTCTGAAAGCCTCGAAGACGTCCTCGGACGCGTGCAGCTGGACCACGTTGCTCTGCAACATCTGCCGTGCCCGAGGTGACGGTGTCAGGTCGGGATCTCGCCAGTCTTGCCAGGTGACCACCTTATAGCATGAAAGTGTGGCTGCAGTGAACAAGAGGGCACATAACCCGTGAACCCAAAGCATGGCTTTGTTGAGGTTTGTGTATGAAAAACGCCTCAAGACGGCGTTTGGGGCCCCAAAGATGCTATCCTCAGAGTTTGATTTGTCAAAGAGGCCCCCTGCCTTACCAGTTTGCAGCAGCGCTGCGAACGCTGCGCGGGTCCGTAGGCCACAGATGTCTTGGATGCACTTCAGCTCGTCTCTGATGGACCCGGTGTCAGCGAAGTGATCGCCCCACTGCACGACCCTTCCGTTCTCCAGAAGAGCTGCGAAAGCACAGCAGGTGCCTGCGATCTTCGTCACCCCGGTCAGCTCGTCACGAACCAGCTCACAGTCGCCGCCGTCACAAGCGCCCCCCCAAGTGACGACGCCCCCGCTGGCGAGCAGAGCGGCGAAAGCAGTGTCGGAGGCAGCCAAGCTTTTTACTTCTCGAAGCTGGGCCTTCACAGGCGTGCTGTCACCTCCCTGATCCGGGTGTCCCCAAGTGACGACCGTCCCATCCTTTCGCAATGCAGCGAATGCCGAGGAGGTCGCAGCGATCGACCGTACATTCTGCAACTGATGTCGCACACTGCGGCTGTCGGATCCGGGACCCGAGCCCCACGTCGTCACGGAGCCATCGCCAAGAACTTGGGCCCAAGAAGGGTGGTCTGGGCTCGCAGTGCAGAAGATCGGCTGAGACAATGGGACTGCTATGGCTTGGATGAAGTGCACGCTGCCGAGCCTTGCCTCGTAGACGGTGCTTTCCATGTCAAGCATGGAACCCTGCTCAGGTGCCACTAGCCACCCGAGCCGCTCCAAGGAAGAGAGCGCCCCGCAGTCGCGGAAGTGTTCTTCCGCCACCTGCAGCAGCTTCGTTAGCCTCCAATCTGGAAGAGCAGATATTTCGATGCAGCGGCCGCTCAGCAGGCAAGATTTTGTGCAGATCGGCGAAGGCTCTGCGTGCGATTCCATGTTGAGTACTTATTGCTGACACGAGAAGCCCAGAGAACAACCCCGTCACCGTAGACGCCAGCAACCAGTCACGGGCGTTGCGAAGTCCATGCCTTCTCGAGCCAATGAAGCACGCCTCAGTAAAATGCAAGCTCCCTAGACATGCAATCAGCCTGATAGATGTACTTGTCGAGACACCAAAATTACATGTTTCTGTGAGAAGTTTTCTTTACATACATGTGTATATAGTACATGTACCCGTACGAGTATGGTACATGACTCGATCCGGAAACAGCCTGACGCCATCAAAGCCAAAGCTACGCCGCCGGCAGCATGTCGGAGGCTGGTGGCGAAGCTTTCAAGCAGTTCATCAAGTTTCTGCTGAACCGCATTTCGGTTCGAGCGGGATTAGAACCCGTGAACTGGATGTTTGGGTCAATGACATGCCAACTGAGAAAATCAAGGTACAAGGGAAGTCCAAGGTTAGCCAAGCCCAAAAGTTCAAGCCGTGTTCGGTTTCTGCTGCGTTGACGTGGCCGTCGTGTTTGGGTTCTGGAACATGACATGCATCCGTCGGATGGGCTGTTGGGATCTCCAAAGACTTGGTTTCGGGGCTTGCTCGACTTAGTAATTCTAATGAAGTGCGGGGGTGCATAGTACAACATATATTAAAAATATGGAATTCCCAACAATGGTATCGGTAAATGTTCTGGCCCGTAAAGTACAGGTTTGGGCCTTTGGGCTTCAACAAGCTTGGCATGGAAAGCTCAAATTGGCGCACACCTTCAGTCGAAGGGGGTGCAAGGAATGCCGGCAAAAACATGAAGGACACTCCATGCACGACGTAAAGCCAAAAACCGCACTGCTAGCACTGGTGCTTCTTGCGATAAGCCGCAGCCACATGTCCTTCAAACGTTGAGCCCCACCCTGAGAAGCAAAAAACCCAAGATCCTAACTTAAGCTCCGAACATGAAAAATCTGAGCTGAACACCTCTTCGACAAACCCAGGATCTCTCCCATCCGAGGTATGGCGGCCTGCACTGACCTCCCGTCGAAATCAACGGTGTAACGTCTTGAGTACGGACTTCTGGATTTACGAACGTCAATCAACATGAAAAAGTGAAACCAAAAAAACATATCTCGCTCCCGGCTCAAGACCTCCTAGCTCTCAATAGCGAAGAAATTTGACTCCGTTTCGTTTTTGCAAGACAAGGTCACGATTGTGCATTCTTCGTGCTGTTGATGCGATTTCCCTTATGCTTTCCGTACCTTGAGACCATGACAGCAGTTTCGGACGACGTGACTGGTCGTTGAAACTATTGCTGCGGCACTTGTATTAAACCACCACAGTGAGGAGTCAGCTCCAGTCGTGGCCAAACTCTGTTGAAAAGTTGGAACCTGGGTTCGAATTCCGTCAAAAAACAAGTCCGAACCTGGGTTCAACTCCCCCGGCTCTTAGTGCGACGACCGATTGTGGACAGTATTTGGCGCGTGGTCTGCGAAGCTGAAGAGCCAAATATCACAGGCAATAACTGCACAGAGAGGCTCTGAACAACTGAGTCACTGCATTCTCCGGGAGCGCTACCCAACGATGTACGCTTGCAAGGGCGATGCGTAACCACAAGAACAGCAATGGCCATCACCCGGCAAGCTTGGAGGGCGCAGCGTCGGCGCCAGCGAAGCACCCTCCAAGCCGAATGGCCAGGGCGTGTGTGGCTAAGATTGACCAGGGCAGGCCGGGAAACTCCAGCTTTAGGCTAGCAGCGGCCGCCGTGCAGGCGGGGTCGCCAGCAAGAAAGAGCTCTCCCTGGCCAGCGGCGCGCGGGCAGGGGCTCAGTCTAAGGGAATAGGCGGATCTGCGCTGCATGCCAAGCCCAATAGCAAGAGAACCCGCCGCCAACAGGCCGGATCCCTACGGAAAGGTCCACTCGCCTCGCTCATGGCGCCCAGCGAGCAAGGGCCCAATAAAAGAATACCTTGGTCGGGGGTCATGAGCACATCGGCGAAATCCCGTTGGAGAATTTCCGCATAGCCGCCATCCAATGTGTGGCGGCGCTTAAAAAAAAAGCGCTCCGGATACCACATGTTAATCCGCCAGTGCGGTCTGAAGATCATAGCCGCCTTGACGGATGCACTGACGGACTCGCGCCAAAGCACTTTCTGGCAGGGCCGCGGGTTGTAGACGCAGTTCCGCATTCCGCAGCCGCCTGCCCGGCGACAAAGTGCCGCGAAATCGGAAGGAGGTCATAGCGGAGCTTATGAACCCTGCGTTGTGTGATCCGTCGCGATCTGCGCGACAAAAACTACCTCGAAGTGAGGTCCACCCACTTCGTGTTGTGCGTGTCCACCATCGTTTCCGTCACATTACTGCTTGCGTCCTCATGCCCTTTGATGCTGCGAAAGTGTGATTCTTGCCTTTCGCGCGGTAACTAATTATTAACTAAAAAGAAATTAACGGCCAGCGAACAAAAAACGCGTTTTTCCGTTTTTGCTTTCCAACCTCACTCAAACCTGCTTTCCCAAACCCAAAGTCTTTTTCAGTCGAGCGTGACAACATCCCTCATTTCGCTTGCCACCTCTACCTGTACACGAGGTGGGGCAGGGCTTACAAAAGGCTTCTTAAAAGCAGACATGTCCTTCCAAGTGACCCCCCCGCTGTCTCTTTGAGACTTGCGAAGCTGGCCACACACTGAAAACATGTCTTGTCCGCCGAACCAGTGCTTCAGCTGGAACAAACGGACGTGAAAACGCATGATCTGTTCCATGCGAGGGCCTCTGTCGTCTGAAGAGCCAACTGTGTTGAAGGGCCGCTTGCCGACCACTTTGCGGAAGGCAGCGAAAAAGCCATCAACCTTCTGGGTTCCTCCAACCCTTTCCCACCCAGACCCGCACCCGCATTCTCTTAGAGAATTCTGGGTGCGGAGGCTTGTGTTTGACACAAGTGTGAGACAAACGCAAATCACCGTCCTCCAAACTACCATCAAGCAGAGGGCTCTTCAAGGACTTGTAGGCTTTGGCTCCGTCTGTGTGACAGACGGAACCAAATCCCAGCACAGGCTCATCAGAGTCCAAAAGTAGAGCAGAACGCATTTCCTCTTAGGAAAGTGGTCCTCCTCCACCTTGACCTGCGTGAGTGATTCTGTAGCCAAGACGCTGAAGCCACACCAAGCTGGACCCTCTACGCGCACTGCCGCAATGAACCTGAGCCACACAATTCCGTGAGATCTGTCCACAGAACGGAAGGCCACTTCATCAATCTCGACGTCCATTCCGCATCCACCAACGGTCGAGGTGTGAAAAGCTGGTTGAAGGTCTCGTACAAGGAGCGAATGGCTCGACTGTCAACACCAAGGACAAGGCTGGCATCATCCGGTGACAGATGCAGTTTGGAAGTGTAGATCCACAGAGCTCCAACAATGGACTTCAAGGCCAGACGCTGCCCTCCGAAGAGAGTCTGCGGAGTCAAAGCTAGACTCTTTCGGCAGCCCAAACATCTGAAACTGCAGGATTGTCCAGGTGCCTCTAACTTCCATTGGGCAGTCTTTTCTGGTCTCTCAGGCCCTCCACACTTGCACAAACCGGCATATGGCTCTGCACAATAGCCGTGCTGGAGCAGAAGCTGGCCCACTTGCAGGTGTCATGGACAAAATGTCCGCCAGTGACGTTCTTGACTTGAGTGTTGTGCGACCAGGAACTGGCAAACGCCCTCGCTTGCGACCAGGACTCTTCTGTCTGGTGTGAGTGTAGGCAGCTCCAGGCTGTGGGAAGACAGAAAGCCTGTCCGAAGGTCCTGCAGAACTCGAGGCAGGTTCTGCAGAAGCTCGACAGCCTCGTCTTCTGAAGCCTGGACCTCCTCCACTTCTTCACCGCTGTCCTCAGCTCCTTTTCCCGATTCTGTTTTTTTTTTTGGCTTGACTGGGCCTCGTCGACTACGGCTGTAGCACTCGGTCCCTACAAACAAGCAAAGCAACAATCAACAAAACAACAACAAAGCGGTGAAACAGAAAAGCGAAGCTCTACAAAGGGCTGCGGCGCACAGGCTTTACCTGTGTTGGCCGTTCAGCACAAACTACGGAGCCTCAGCGACCGGTCCGGAGCAACAAAGAGCCGTCGCTCTGAGCTGCCCAAAACAATAGGTGGAGCCAAGTCCAGGCTCCGGCAGCCGTTCTAGTCTCGCCAGAAACGGACAGCCCCTGTGTTTTGTTCCGTCGCGATCGCGCACACCAAAATCCCAAAGTCCAAAGCCCACTGCATGCGTGAGCAGCTTTCAGACAGGAGCGCGATGGCCAGAGTCGCAGGAAAGCAACTCATTACCAGCCGGCGATTCTGCACACATCCAAGGACAAAACCAAACGTTCCTCGGCGTGCAAAGCGCAAGGGCGTTGCGGACGCCGGCGTCCAGCGACAACAAGTCGCCCGTCACAGCACGCAGCTGGCCGGGCGAGTGATGCAGACCGTGGGGAAATGTTATGCGTCAAACCCAGAGCAGCGCAAGCAGGGCTCCGCCACGAGGCAAACAGTGACCGAGGTCACCCTTTTCGAGATTGCACAGCACATTGGACCTGGAGACTCAAGTGGTGGGTAATGCAGAGTAGGAGTGGCAAGCACTGGAAGGAAAGTGACTTCCATTAAGAGATAGATCGCAGTTTTCCAGCAAGATTCTGATGCATCCGCTCGCCAACATGCAGTCATTGCGGATTCCTCGCAACCCTGCCCGTTTCTGCCATTGCAGCAAAGAAGCTCAGGCAAACATATGTATATGTCAAAACAAGGTGAGATGGACGCAAGATGCAGACTTAGCGTGGCACAATTTTATGAAGCGGCAACCAGCAGGCTCGAGCTTGCGGAAAGCTCAAGAGAAGCATCGACACAACGACGTACAGTGCCGGATTATCATGCTTCGCTTGCTCAATTGCATAGCTGCACAACACCGTTGTTGTCGTTGTCTCTGAAACCTGCAGCAGCTCAAGCTATCATGTTGCCTGCGTAAAAAAAAAAGCGAAACTGTGAAAGATTGTAGCCTTCCTTCACAGCAATACTTGCTTGCTGGCATTTTGTCACAAACTGCGTTCAGAAAGTGTAAAAAAGCGGGGCCCAAAAATGGGCCCGGAATTCAGGCCCGTTTCTGGAGCGTTCTAGTATTCTAGTATTGGCACAATTAAGGAAGGCTCAGAAAACGGGCCCATTTTGGGGCCCGCATTTTGGTGCCGGAAAACCACTCTCAAGCTCGTTCTTGGAGTCACAAAATCTGACGCAGGTTGAGAAATACCGTCCACCAGTCATTCGCAAGATGCAGCTGGACAACTCCAAGGTGAAGCACCCAATTCCTGCTTCTCTTGAACACACATTCGATTTCAACGGTGAAATTGAAAACCCGCTGCATGTAGTCTAACTGTCTAACCAATTGCAGCTGCAACTAGGGAGGCCACCCCCCACGGACCCCAAACCATACCCAGTTTTCGGACCCCAAAACAGGGGACACATTCCGGCTCAATGGGAAGCATGCCAGGCATGCTCCTTTGGCCTTGGGCTTTAGCCTTCGCTTTCGGCGGCATGGCACCTCAAAGGATAACCATGCCAGACAACGCCAACTCCAAAGGACAATATTGAGTGTCCGACCAAAGCTCTTGGACGTGCTTTCGTCAGGGCTTTCCGTACACTGCGGAGCTGTGCGGCTGCCACTCATTCAGCCATCCGAAACTCCGAAAGTTTCAACGGGAAACTGAAGATCGTAACGTGCTGGACGCCCTTCAATGTTGAAGGAAAGAAAGAGACTGAAAGTTCTGAAAGTGCGTCACGGCCCTCGGAAGCAAGATAGCCGAAGTCCAAGAAACTTCTACACGTCTACACGTTGAACGGCCGCGCGCACGTTATGTTTGCACTGGGGGGCGGCTGCAGAGAACTGGTCTCAAATCTCATATTGCAGCAATCGCAGATAATGTGAGCTCGTGATTTTTAAAGGCCCCCTCAATAGAGCTAAACTCGGCCCGGAACTCAATAATAAAAGGTCCCCTCAATAGAGCTAAACTCGGCCTGCACGTAATAATAAACACCCCTCAATAGTCCTAAAACCCGTCCCGGTGTAAAATTTTTGTAAGGTTTAGGCAGAGAAGCACTCCTACTACAAAGTGACGCCCTGGAAGAGGAAAGACAGAAACAGGCAAAATAAAGAAGACAGTACTACTGTACTACTGTACTACTACTGTACTGTACTACTGTACTACTGTACTACTGTACTACTGTACTACTGTACTACTGAGAGCCCCGGGTCCCAAACCCCGGGTCCCAAACAACTTCGACCCCGGTCCCCCAAACAACTAAAGATCAGAGAGGCGGACCCTCCGTTATTATTGGGGTTGAGGGGGGGGTTTAATAATCAGGAGACAACATTAGACACTCCGTGACTTGCGCATTCACTCACACGCTCACCCAAACCACTTCTTGACTCCCAAACTCCCTCACACACTCACTCCAACCGTGCATCCCCCGCAGTCCCTTGCGCAATATTGCCGACATTGCGCGAAGACAAAATCGAAGGTTTCTTGGTGTCACTTTAGTGTGAAGACCGCACAAAGAAACGTCTGATGATGCTTTCACTTCCGGCTTCTATGCCTTAGAGCCCACCGTAAAGGTCTCTTGGTCCCATTTTGGGTGAAGACCACACAGAAACACGTCCGATGCTTTCACTTCCGGTTTGTAAGCCTCGGAGCTTACCAGAAAGGTCTCTTGGTCCCATTTTTTGGGGCGAAGACCATGCAGAAACACGTCTGATGCTTTCCTTTCCGGTTTGTAAGCCTCGGAGCCCACCAGGAAGGTCTCTTGGTCTCAGTCTTGGGTGAAAACCACACAGAAACACGTCTGATGCTTTCACTTCCGGTTTATTTGCCTCGGAGCCCAAAAACAATCTGCACGGCGGTCCCGGCTCGCTTCTGGTCGCAGGCATGTTTGACAGCGAAATTGTGGTATTCTGAAGCACATCGTCCATCAAAGTTGCAGTATTTTCACAGGTCCAGCCCTGCTCTCGCAGCATCTTGCGTAGAAATCGCACTGTTTCCACAGTTCCAGGCTTGTGTGATAACGAAATCTGGCATTTTCCAGTAGCGCGGGGCGCAATCGTAACGTGCTTTAGGCGCGTTACGATTGATTTGGCTGGCATTTGCAAGGGAAAACTCGAAATCGTAACGTGCTTCGCGCGCCACAAAAAAAG